TGCTGATTCTCATCCCAGCCGCTTCACACTCGGCTGCAAACCGCCTCAGTGCACGCTGGAGGTCCTGGTTTGATGGGGCCAACAGGACAACGTCGTCTGCAAAAAGCAGAGACGAGATCCTGTGGTCCCCAAACTGGACTCCCTCCGGCCCCTGGCTGCGCCTAGAAATTCTGTCCATAAAAATAATGAACAGAACCGGTGACAAAGGGCAGCCCTGCCGGAGTCCAACATGCACTGGAAACAAGTCTGACTTACTGCCGGAAATGCAAACCAAGCTCCTGCTCCGGTCATAAAGGGACCAGAGAGCCATTAGCAAAGGGCCCCGGACCCCATACTTCCGGAGCACCCCCCACAGGGTGGCGCGAGGGACACGGTCGAATGCCTTCTCAAGATCCACTAAACACATGTGGACTGGTTGGGCAAACTCCCAAGAACCCTCCGCCACCCTGAAGAGGGTATAGAGCTGGTCCAATGTTCCACGGCCAGGACGAAAACCGCATTGTTCCTCCTGAATCCGAGGTTCGACTATCGGTCAAATTCTCCTCTCTAGTACCCTGGCATAGACTTTCCCGGGGAGGCTGAGGAGTGTGATCCCCCTATAGTTGGAACACACCCTCTGGTCCCCCTTCTTAAAAAGAGGGACCACCACCCCGGTCTGCCAGTCCAGAGGCACTGTCCCCGACCGCCATGCGACGTTACAGAGGCATGTCAGCCAAGACAGCCCAACAACATCCAGAGACTTACGGTACTCAGGGCGTATCTCATCCACCCCCGGTGCCTTGCCACCGAGAAGCTTCTTAACTACCACAAGGTAAACTACGTCAAAGGGTCTGTTGGGATTATACTGGAAATGTTTACCTTCAGGGCTAAACCCAGAGAGCGGAAAAACAGCAGAAGGTGAACCATGAAACGCAGCAGGTGAGAGGGGAGGGGCTTAGAGGCTGTCAACCAATCAGAAAACTCCTCCAACAGACCTGATAGAAACCAGTTGAGGTTGAGAGTTAGTAAGATAATCTTATTTACATCTTGAATCTTACATAATAATAATGTAATGTGATTATTTTCCATTTTTTTAATTTGCAACAAACTAATTCCTTTTTAGAGGTTAGATGTGAGGCGGTCTTACCATCCAGGTCTCCCAGGATGACAAACTTCTGGATGACATGGTAATGCTCTCTTGTCTCCACCAACACCCTCTGCACACACACAGACAGAAGCTGGTTTTATGCTGGATTCATTCACAGGACTTCAATATTCACCGGTCACATTCAGTTAGCGTGTGAGTTTCACCTTTGACTCTATGGCTTGAAGCTCCTCAAATACCTTTTCCATGGTCCAACTGTGGAGTGACAGAGAAAGTGAAATGATTGGAACGACAGTAGGTGAACATCCACCCTATGGCTGAGTGGCCTGGATGGATCAGGACCACAGGATGTGATACACTTTAGCTAACTGTAAGCCACTGGTGCCTTACTCATTAGCTTAGCAACATCAGGCTACAATCAGTCCAAAATTGAACACTCTCTATAAAGAACTGTGATGTAATCTGTCCATGCTGTGAACTCCCCCCCCCCAAAACAAAATTGTGGTTGTGCCTCCTACTTTGCCTCCAGGTATTCTCGTGGCAGTGCCTCCACTTCCTGGTTGGCCATACCCGATGACATCAGCTCCTTTTCAACCAGCGAGTCGACCATCACTCTGAAGTACGCCCATACACAGTCCTCCCATGATTCACACACTGCCAGGAGCTGACACACACATACTGTTAGTGTAATTTACCTACCATCATCAAGTGGACCTCTACAGACTAATTTACTGGCTGATTTCTACGTTCTGAACACATGTAGAGTGACAATGAAAGCAGACACGTTTGTGTTGAGCACTGTTTCTGTAAATGTCAAAGTTTTTCAGACTTAACAGAGGAGTATGAAACAGGCTTTAGAGAATAAGGGCCCTATCTTGCAACAAACGCATGGCGTGCGGTGCGGGTAGCACGTCTGTGTTTCCTAATTTCCGATTTGCGCAATTACCATTTTCATGATATGCGCATCATGTTGCCTTTTTACCAAGCAGCAGTCTGTCGACTTTGTGCCAGCAGGTGTGTCCAGATGAAAATGGGGTGTGTCCAGGTGAATTTTGGGCACATTGGTAATATGAGGATCCACAAAGTGAATGTGCCACTGACCAGCAAAAATCAGGTCTGTGATCAACAGTCAATTCATCACTCTATTATATTACCGGTTTGAGGTTTCCACTCAGGCTGGCGTAGATGGCTCTCTCAAATCGGTTTAACTGCTCCTACAATCACAAAGAGCAGGTTAAAGTTATATTTTAGTCCTCTAGCTTTTGGAGTCTATTAAAAAAAAAAAGCATTAGAACTCCTTTTGTGCAGACATGTTTGCAGAGGACAATGGTGTCAAACATACTGTAGGTGTTACAAATAAATAAAAAGAAACTGGTGTCTTAGTACTGGTCACCAGTTTTGGACAACGTGAAGCAGTAATATCCTGGTTTTTCAGCATTACACTGGCTTTACCTCCATCTAGAATTTTATTTGAAAGAGA